GCATTTGCTATGGTTTTCCCTTTCAGAAAGGAAGCGGAGTCTTTACTGAGTATTCAGAGTGGTGTTATTAATCTCACCTGGGTCCCTGAGCTGGCAAGTCATTAGGTCAAATCAAAGGTAAACCTAGAAATCAGAGAAAGGAAATTCAGCTCCTAAATTTTGTAGACATCTGTTACTGCCTTTTTGCTGGGGATTTAAACATTATGCTTAGTTCAAATCTCCCCGCTGTTTAGTTATATCCTGTAAGTTCAGAGAAAGTAGTTTCACAAATCTCTAAAGAGAAGTTTTAGAAAATAAAACAGACCTCATCTGTACCGAAGGGACTTCTGAGGAGGAGCAACATGCCAAAATGGCTCAGAAGTAGACATCAGAAGAGCTGGTCTCAGCTAGGAGAGTGGAGACCAGAGATCTATTTTCAGCTGAATAATTCGTACTTGTCTTCCCTGAGTCTGAACTAGTCCACGTAAAACCACTTTTCTTCCTTATTCTTTAGGTTTGTCTTTCAGGTGAGTGGTTTTTTCTCTTGTAAACTAAAAAGGTGTGTTCTCCACTGAGGAATGGTTATGTGTTTTTCTTCTTAGTAGGTATCTAAAGATATATATGTCAGTCTCACGAGTTTGCTCCGACTTACGTTCTCCAGCTCTGATTTTGTTTTGGGCCCCATTCATACACCTGTTCCTGGAGACTTGTAACATGGGATGTCTGATAGAAGCTGTTGGCTGTAATTTTGTATAACTTGAAAAGAGGGACAGCCTGTTGACATCTGTATGTTCACTCTTGAAATCAAGATCCAAAATGGGACAGCTAGCCATAATTTTCTTTGCTGAAGTAAAGTGATCATCTCTTGACTCTGCACCCACTCTCTCACCGAGAAATGAAAATACCAGTCAGGCAGTCACCTTTAGGTATTCAAAAACATTTCACGTCTGAAGAGATTGGTGTAAAAATAAAAATATTTTCAATTTATTTCTGAGTTGTATTTTTGAGAAGATGCTTTTGGCCCTCTGGACTTTTCTCTGGTGGGAGTAAGCCTCCTCACCCCAACTTTTGCCTTCAGTCATCTTATGGTCGCCCCCCCACACCCCCTCCTGACATGTGCTACCTTTGCTGGTGAAATACCTTGAGGAAGTCAACCCAGGCCCTCCCCTACCCCCGTAGAGAGGATTTTTGTCTCCAGTCTCAAGCACGGCATCATTAAATCACCTGCCATCCCAATCCAGTAGCCACGACGGCGCCGTAACTCCTGTGCCCACAGCCTGAGGGGAGCACGTGTGAGCGGCCATTTTGGGGCTGAGCGCCGGCGCAGGAAGGGAGCGGGGATGGCGACCGGGCTGCGGCGGCCGCTGGGTTTTCCGAGGGCCCGCCGGGAAGAAGCGGG